CATCCCCTGCACAGTCCTCAAGAAGCTCAGCGTCATGGTGGCCCGGGCAATGTGCTCCGCTGCAATGTGCTGAGGACCGGATGCGCCGCGGTTCGCAGTCCTCCTCGCGGTCGCCCGTTTAGGTCCCGTCACGTCCGAGTGCCAGGTCCTGCGAGGACAAAGCAGTCAGGTCAGCGAAGTGTCACGACCCGGGCCCGGAGAGCCCCGCGCACCCAACGGCGGCGACGCAGGCGGCCCACTGCGGCAAGCAGCATCTTACCCTCTCGGCGCCCGCGTCACTAGCGGCCCATGCCTGCGTCCCCCGGCAGCGACGAGGCGCCAGGGCCGGCTCCGACGCTTCCCAGGAGGCCAGCCCGAGGAGCGGGCACAGCAGAGGGGTTGTGCAGAAGCGCGACGCGGGTCGGGGGGGAGGGTGGGCGGACGCCTGGGCTCTGCGGTTCTCTGCGCGGCGACGCGACCAGAGTCGCGAGCGAGGCACCGGGGAGAGGACGCGGCCACCCACCTGAACAGACGCACTGCACGCAGCTGCCGCAGCCTCAGCCCGGGTCCCAACAGGAGCTGTTTGGGGCGTGCCCGGGGAGGCGGCGCCGCGGGGTGACGCACCCTGACGTCTCTTCAGGGCGGGCCTTTCAAGGCGGGGCGGGCGCGCTTCCGGGACGAGCCGGAAGCCCCGACTGTGGCAGCATCCGGGACGGCGAGCGGGCGGGCCAACCCGGACAGGAAGGTGAGATCCGGCGCCTGCCCAGCTTTGCAGGCTCGGCCGCTGGCCGCTGCCCGGCACTGGGCTCCCGGCGCTGCAAGGCGGAGAGTCCCGGGCCTGGCGCCGCCCGCGCAGCCCTGGTCGCGGCGACGGGCGCCGCAGCGTGACAGGGGGCGGGGCCGGCTAGGGAGTCTCTGGCGGGGCCGGTGACAGCGCCGGGGGCTCAGGGGCCGGCCGCCGCGTGACCCGCGCAGTAGAACGCCGAGCTTAATCACAACCAGCTCGTGCTCCGGGCGGGTCGTGGTCCCCGTTCCCCAGCCGGTGACGCCGGGGGTTTCTTTCACGGCGGCTCCCTCTGACATGCCAAAGCCGCCCGAGTATTCAGAGCTGAGTGACTCTCTAACGCTTGCCGTGGGAACAGCAAGGTTCTCGGGACCCTTGTAAGTGTTGAAGACGTACTTGCTGTCTGACTTGGGGCCCCGACATTGGTCTGACTCGCAGAACCAGGTGCTCGCTCTGAAGCAGTCCTGTTAAGTGGGAAAGTATTTGCACTGTAAAGTGAAAGGTTCCGTGGGAAACCACTTCGGTTCCAGTTCTTTAATAGAAGGTGTCCTGGACCCATTTAAGCCATAGGTAGTGACCTATTCTGTGGGATTCACATAAAACCGGACTCCCTAAACACTGAAACGTCTTGTACCTCCTCGGGACTATTACGTAAAACCACCTGTAAGTTGTTCACATGTCGTCATACATGCAATTTTAATTTATTTTAAACCGTAAATGTAGTAATGGGGGATTTTAGAAGTCGTTGGAAATAAAGCAAGCACATTTGGAATAGTTGCCCAGACAGCATTCCTAGACCCTAACTGTATTTTTTTCTTTAATTTGAAGGCACAGAGCATGGAGAATGATGAATTTTCGCCAGCGGATGGGATGGATTGGAGTGGGATTGTATCTGTTAGCAAGCGCAGCAGCATTTTACTATGTTTTTGAAATCAATGAGACTTACAACAGACTGGCCTTGGAACACATCCAGCAGCACCCGGAGGAGCCGCTTGAAGGAACCACATGGACACACTCCTTGAAGGCTCGGTTACTCTCCCTGCCGTTCTGGCTTTGGACGGTGATTTTCCTGATACCTTACCTGCAGATGTTTTTGTTCCTATATTCTTGTACCAGAGCTGACCCCAAAACGGTGGGCTACTGCATTATCCCGATATGCTTGGCAGTTATTTGCAATCGCCACCAGGCATTTGTCAAGGCTTCTAATCAGATCAGCAGACTGCAGCTGATTGACACATAGACTCGGTCACCATTTTCCCCTTATGATTACAAAACTGCCAGTGCCGTGCGGGGCCTGATCACAAGACGGCGGTTTTTCCACAGATCTCAGGAAGTTGTGGTGGGGCAGAGGCCCTTTAAACAATGTGACTAGGGGGCTGTCTCTATCTGACTAATGGGTTTTTAGGTGAAGCCTGAGACACAGTCCTAACAAAATAATGTTGATGACTTCAGATTTTGGAAGTAAAATCATGTCTGTTACTTGCATTCTTTAGAAACTTGAATAAGTTCCTAAACTCCTATTCTTATTCTACTGTGCAACATAGTGATGGTTCAGAGATTTTTCCTTTGGGGGGAAAAAAATGAACATGAACATTTCCATTGTGTTTAATGTGTAAAAAGGTCCAAACATGGTCATAAAGTTTAAATTTTATACAATTACTTGGCTTGCTTTAAAATTCTTCAGACTAAAACACCAATTCATGCTTTTCTGAGTAAGCCAACTATTTGTCAGCTTGTGAGAAATTGGTATAAAATTATTGAGATGATTACTGTCCTGATACATAGAATTCATTCCTCCTTTTGGTTAATGCTATGGGCATTCTTAATGCTACTGATTTTTTAAAAAAAAGAACTTGGGAAGAAACTAAATGTTTGAAAGTTGAGAAATCTAACTTATACATAGGAGATGGAAACAAGGTGTTCAATGAACATGTTTGTCCCAGTGCCTGTCAGATGTGCGATAGCTCTCTAAAAGATGCTAGCAAGTCATCCTGATACTCCTTTCTAGCCTCAGGGCTGGTCTTTAGGCGAGAGGTTAGTTGCATGAAGATGTGATCCTTGTACTTCCTCCTGTGCATTTGTACTTACTACCTCATGTCTGGTACCAATACAAATATCTAAAAAATGGAAATACTAGATTTTAGGATTCTTTTTTTCTGGGTGAGATTAAGATATATTTTTATACAGCTATGTCATTAATCCCAGGGAAATATTTCACACTGATAGGTTTTAATAACGTTTTGGGTGCTTACTCTGTTGGGCCCTGTTCTAAGAACTTTGCATAAATTAACTCAATGAACAACCCTATGAGCTAACAATTATCTAGATTTCACAGATAAGGACACTGAGGTGGAGCAGTTAAGTAACTTGCCAGAGGTCACACAGCTGGTAGGTGGCACAGCCAGAGCTGTGACCAGGCATCGGATGCCTGTTCCTAACCACAGCTACAGCGCTTCTCACAAGTGACAGCTGTTCCAGCACCGGGCGCTGCCTGCCTCGCCAAGTTAAAGAATGGAGATGGCATCATCGAGAAAGGTTTTTCTCAATGGGCTACTGGAAATCTAGAAGTTTCTAGCAATCTCACCCTTTAAGTCTGATTTGACTAGAATGGAATGCTGCACTTTCCATAGCAATCTCTTACTTGAAAGATAAAGCAGGTACTTTTGCAACTCAAAAGCAGCAAGATCAGATTCTTCTCTAATTAGTCCCAATTCTTTCTTTTACTGCCTCCATAGGTCTAGTTCCTGAAATGATTATCTTCTCCTACAGTACATAGAATCTTCAAGTAAGCAGCAGTTTGAAGTACAGATAACCCAATCACTTGTATCTTTTGAGTATTTACTAATTATAGACGGTCCCTGACTTACCATGGTTTGACAGGAATTTTACACTTTATGATGACAGTAAAGCAACATGCATTCAGCAGGGACTGTATTTGAATTCTGATCTTTTCCCAAGCTAGTGATAATACAGTAAGAGTCTCGTGATGCTGGGCAGCAGTGAGATGATCTTGCCCAAATGTAGGCTGATAGAAGTGTGCTCAGCACGTTTAAGGTAGGCTAGGCCAAGCTCAGGGGTCCAGTGGGTTAGGTGTGTAAATGCATTTTCTACTTACATTTTTAACTCATGATGGGTTTGAGAGTAACCATCATAAGTTAAGGAGCAGTGCAGTATGCATGCTGCAGGCGCTGCATTGAGTGATATGCATTCTTCATGACAGCCCTATGAGGCCGGTATGTACTGGTACTAGTGCCATTTACAGAAGAGTAAAATGAGGAAATCTGAGGAATTAATAACTTGCCCATGATCACACAGCAAGTAAGTGGAAGAGCCAGGGCATTGAACTGGGGATGTCTGGCTTCAGATCTCCAGCTCTATCATCCCAATCTATTGCTTCTCAATAATTTGAGGAACATCATTGAGCAGTTTCTTGTTTTATTTGACTAGTCTTGAAGCAATGTTAGTTTGGAAATGATTTAAGAAAATTACTTGTTACTTTTTATTTTACAAATGTTTGGTATAATGCAAGGTTTGTGAATTGGTCACTTGTAAAGTGACTTCATTTTTATTGAAGTACATTTTCTCTCTTCACATTCTAATATTGAGATTTGGTAAGTAAATGCTCGTCTCTGTCTTTCAAGGTAATATGTCCTTGGTAGTAGAAATGTTAGAATAATTACAGTAGGAGTAATGCAGTATTTCTAAATGTTTCAGATTGCAGAGTTAATCTGTTTTTGATTACTTAGGAATTAATTATCCAAGTTGGATTATTACTATTTTGTCTATGACTATTTAAGAGTTCAAAGCACTCTTTTGGGAAAGAGGAAAAGGTGAAATTTATCTCCCAGCTCTATTAGACAGAGGAGGAGGTTAAAATTGATGGATTGGAGACCTATTATTATAGCAGGTCATCACTTATTTTATATTCTCATCACAATACAAAAAAGCAGTGACTACAGGATTAGGTAGTGAGATAAACAGTAAATAAGGGCAGTGTATCAGAGATTTTAGGAAAGAGACAGGCTTCCTAGGATCCCTAACCAGTCAGTATATGCTTCCAGGTATGAGAAAAATAGAGTGGTAACGAAAAGTTTTTCTTGGGGGTGGGGAGTCGTTAAAGTACGCCCAAGAGAGTAACTGTACCCATAATATAATCAAACTGGTATATTTCGTTGACCGTGGTATTGTTAAAGTCTTTATTGAGAATATCTAGTGTGGATTTTTTGGATGGGTTTAACATTTTCAATCTCAAAAATACTGGCAGAAAAGCTTGCCACAATACCACATGACTCATGTTTGCATCAAACATTTGCCGTCATTATAATTTCTACAACACATTTTTTTTTAAGTGCCATGTAATTGTAGACCATGATTGGGAATCATCATGCATTAGTATTTTTGTTTTGGTCTCAGGCAGTGAGTGGGGTCTTGAACTGTGGCTGTATATTAGAATCACCCAAGGGAATAAAAATCGCAAAGCTCATATGAACAATGTCAGGATCCCTTTTCCACCAATTATGTCCATTTCTGTGGGCATAGTCCAGGCAATCCTGTTTTTAGAGGCAGGTCTTTGAGTGAGTCTGTCAGGGTTTTCTGCACCATAAAGACTCAATTGTTAGTCACGCGATCTGGTGTTTATTTTTGGAACCGCCTCAAAACCTATTTTGTGGTAACTTCACCCTAGCTGTTTGAATTGCAAATCCCTGCCCAAAGTTTAAACAGACTTTATTGTTACAAGGGGGAGGCCTACTGACCAGAGCCTTATAGCCGGTATATGTAGTTCCAGCGTGTCACCATGGAGAAATCAGAGGTTATGATTGTAGAGGAAGTCACTGACTGAAGGCCAGGATCCAGGGGAGTCAGCCAGGAATGCTGCGGACCATCAGGACAGGCTGGGGTGGTCCGGGGACAAGGTGAGGGGGAGAGGGCAGCTTCACTCCTGCTTCCTGAAGCTCTCCAGGTGTGACAAGACCCAGCCCCACAGCCAGAGAAAACGAAGCAGGAGATGAGCAAGGGTGACACCCATGGTCCTGCACTGCTTGGAATGGATCTGGGCCTGTCAGGCCCCTCAGCCCTGGACCTCAGCGAGTAGATTGCAGACAGCTGCCAGCTGGAGCCCAGGCTTGGAAATGAAGTGTCTGCATATTCTGATTCCACCTCCTCTCCTTCAGTTTATCCCGAATCCCATTTATCAGGTTTTTGCCCTCCACTCTACCAAAACTGTTTTCTTGTCAAGTGGTCACTGGTAACTTACACAGAACTGAATCCTTTGGTCAAGTCTCAGTCCTCCAATTACTTATTAGCAGTTTTTGACACATTCCCTCTCTTTGAGATACTTTCTTCAGTTGGCTTCTCATCACTACTGCCCAGTAGAACTTCAGCGAGGATGGAATGTTCTTTATCTGTGCTGTCCCAATCAGTAGCCACTAGCCACATGAAATGAGCCCTTGAGATGTGGCTAAAGTGACTGGGGAACTGGGTTTAGTTTCAATTAGAATTTAAATAGCCACCAGTGGCTAGTAGCCACTATGTGTTAGCCCAGGTCTAGATATTTTTCTGGTTTTTCTCTTTCTTACCAGCTCCTCCCGTCTCCTTTCCTGGTTCCTCCTTGGGGATCTGCCCGATTTCTAAATGCTGGCTTGCCCCCCGCCCCCTCCCTTTTCTCTTTTTACTCCCTTGATCATCTCATCCAGGCTCATAGCTTTAAATGCCCACATTTATATTACTACCTTGTCTCTCTCCCCTGAGCCGCAGATTTGAATATCCAACTGTCTACTTGATATTTACTAGATGTCCAAAACCAAGCTGCTGATCTCTCCACCCACCAAAATCTGCTCCTTAAGTTCCCTACGAGATGGCTGCCAAACCCCTGACGAGGGATCCTTTTAAACTCTTACTCCTCTCAAAAGTTCCTCCTGTGGTTTCCCTTCTCAGAATAAAAGCCAAAGTCCTTCCCATGGCGTACAGAGTCATAAATAAGCGGCCCTTGACCTTTACTTCAGTTCCTAATACTCTCAGCCCCTGACTCTACTCCAGCCACACTGGTTTTCTTGATTCTAGAACACACCAGAAAAACCTGTTCCAGGGCCTCTGCCCTCGGTCCTGCCTGCCTGGGTGCTTGGCCCCGGCCTGCTCCATGCCCTTCTTCAGACCTCTGCTCAAGTGCCAGCTTAGTGAGGCTGCCTCTCACCACCCAATGGAAAATCCAGCATCCCCCTTCCCTGTTTTTCTCCGAAGCACTTACCATGTGATATCACATGACATGTGTTTTGTCGGGATCTAAACTCCATGAGCGGAGCGATTTTGCCTGTTCACTGCTGTATGCCCCCTGCCCCAGTGCCTAGAGCAGTAGGTGCTCAGTAATGATTTATTGCATGCATGATGCTCAGTGTCCCGGAACACCTCTCTCTCTAGACTGCAAAACAATCTAGTTCACTCTCCAGGGAGAATAAAGGTTAAAGTTAACATTTACTACTAAGTGCAGAGCATAATCTGTCTCACGTGCTAGGTAAGTTTGGTTATTCAACTTTTTTTGTTGACACTATCGCAGATACTTACCAAACTCAGGTTTCAGCATGGACTGATGTGTTCTTTTATGGCCAAAATTTAAAATGAGTCTCCCAATTTTTTTTTTGCCAACAATTCTTATGTTGGTTGTCTTGGGATCCTTCTCCTTACATCGGTTTGTTGTTCCATTTATTTATGCATTCATTGGTCAATTCCTGTATGTGCCCTGACTAGGGATTGAACCTTCAATCTTGGTGTATCAGGAAGATGCTCTAACCAACTGAGCTACCTGGCCAGGGCGGGGTTTTCCTTCTTGATGCAGAGAAAAACATATACCACATTCACAAACAAGTGTATATTTTAAGTGGTGATTAGAGCCTTGAGAAAACCACCTAACATGTACCAAGTGTCATGACAACCCCTTAGAGCTACAACAAACATTATAGTATTCTGGCGTTCAGGGCAATCCCTTGGCCCCATAAAGCACTTATTTAAACGAGTAATGTTTTTCTGCAAGTGGCCTCTATCTTCAGCAGAATTTTTGGCACCAGAGTAAATTCCCAATGGCCCGAGTGTGAACTGCTACCTTTTAAAAGATTTAAATAGGAGCTTACTGCCTAGCATTCACTGTTTCCTGGGCCATGTCTTTAAATAAAGCAATTCTGATTCTAAAGGTCACCCGAGAATGGAAAAGTCGTAGCTACACTGAAATTTGCTTAATAGTTTAAGAATAGTGCACTGGCTAGAGGCAGTTTCTTTAAGGCAAGGCACTTTGGTTTTAGAAACACCTCTGACCTTTTTTTTATGGTATCCTACCTCATATTTAGTCCAGTTTTCCTAACCTTTTTATTTTTCTATTTTGGTTTTGTTTTGTTTTCCTAACTTCTTTAGAAATCACTTTGTATTCCCTAATCTGACAAATAGAAGTCAGATGGGAAATGGATTTAAAAAATGTTTTTGTTGATTTTTAGAGAGAAAGGGAGAGTGATAGATAGTAACATTGATGAGAGAGAAACATCATCGATCAGCTGCCTCCTGCATGCCCCTCACTAGGGACCGGGCATGTGCCCTGACTGGGTATCGAACAGGTGACCTCTTGGTTCCTCACCTGCTGAGCCACAATGGGGGTGGGGTGGATTTTTTATGTTTTAAGTCTGGATTGGTTCATTTTTGTCCTGAATTACTTAATGACATTTAAAACTGTAAACATGGCTGTTTTGCCCTTACTAAATTTAAAGCATGACTTTTGGAAAGTAAAAATCTTTAGAAAGTTTCACAATAACTTTCTTTTCTTTTTTTTAAATTTACATGTTGCTTTATTCCGTAAGGACAACCTGACACGTTAGATGATAATAGCTAATGACAAAAAGTAGAAATGAGGCGCCTGCTTCTCTAACCACTGCTAGGAGCATGTTATATGTATTGTCATTGCATGTCCACTTTGACATCCTCTCATTCTATTATGTACTATAACAATGGAGCGAGAACACAGTAAGTAGGTGGTTCTGCATCTCAGGTAAGCACTGCATGGCAATCCGGTTCTGCCTGTGAGGATGGTGGCCCTCCTCCCCAAGAAACCCCGCTAAGCTCGTGAGGAACAGCCCTAAGAATCACAGAGAAGGGATGCTGCTGGCAGGCCTCTAACACAGCGACAAACAGCAGACAGCTATTGTCACATGAGATTCGACTTGCCATTGTTTGGAAATGTCACATCCGTGTCAATGACAGTCCTGGCACCTGCTCAGCCACCCGCCTAGAGTTTCATGGTTACTTCTGTTCGATGACTACAAAGCTACAGGAACATTTGAGGGACTAAAAAGTATTTTCATGTAAGTCTCCAGACCCAAAAACTATGCTGCTAGTAATTAAAACAAAAATATTAATTAAAAGAAAAAGGACAGCTGGGTTAGTTTTGTTAGCTTCCAGAATTCACTGTGACAATGTCCTTTGAAACAGGCTGTTCTCTCCGATATGCCTGCACCCTCCACATCACCCGCATGTTCCACACTTGGACGTAGGAATGTCCAGAAAACACGGCACATGGGGAACTCAAACCTTAGTATGGGAAAAAGGTCAGCTTAGACCCACAGCTAAGTTCAAATGTTAATTTCCTGGAAATTTGTATTAGTCGATTGAAAGCACAAAGAGCAGAAGAAGGTTTTGATGAGGAAGTGAAACCATGCGTTTCGGTACGTCCTCTTCCTACTCTCGGCACAGGGTGAAGGGAGCTGGAGCAGCCGGTGCAGTTGTTGTGTGTCCTGTGATGGCGCGATGGGTCCCAGCTGAGCCAGGAAGGGCACCTGAGTGGGGGTTTATCTCCTAGGGCCGTGGTCGGCAAACTGCGGCTCGCGAGCCACATGCGGCTCTTTGGCCCCTTGAGTGTGGCTCTTCCACAAAATACCACGTGCGGGTGCGCACGTACAGTGCGATTGAAACTTGGTGGCCCATGCGCAGAAGTCGGTTTTGGGCCTGGGCGAGTCTATTTTGAAGAAGTACTGTTGATATTTGGCTCTGTTGACTAATGAGTTTGCCGACCACTGTCCTAGGTTTCTTGCTTACATCACTAAGCAGCTAAATGGTTGGTACTTTTCTGCGCTATGATAAATATGCAGAAAAGTAAACTAAGTGTTCGTTTTTTAACTGCAGCCACCGCAAAATTAACTCTGCTGCGGGGTTGCTTTTTGCTCAATCCTAATGTGAGTGCCCTTATTTGAGTAATACTGTAAAATAGGAGGAAAGACAGAAGGAGCAACTTTGAAGAGGTGACAGACCACTCCTGCCCCATGGACAGTGCAGGTCAGAGGGCGAGAACACAAAAAACAAGACTCACTTCCATTTTACAGGGCAGGAGCCCAGGTCGCTTTACAGCTTTTTGGCACAGTCAGGGCAATACACTTGCTCCTGATGGAAGACAAAGCGCTTGCTGGCCAGATTCAGGGAGCACTTTTTGCAGTGGAAGCAGTAGTCGTGCCAGGACTGTCCTTCATAGGTCACCACACTGGAGCCTTTACCAAACCCAGTGATGGGGTTCTTGCATCCAGCACACTTCTTAGCCACATAGTTCTTGTAGCAATCCACGCAGTAGTACTGGTCCTCCACAGCAGTGAAACGCTGC